TGGCGGCGTACCTGGCGGTGCTGGCGCCGCCCTGGGCAGACCTCACCCGGTGGCCCGAGCCGATGAGGTGCTCCGCGCGATTTCTTGGAGGAGGAGCAAAGAGGAGAGTACCCGAGGCTTCTTGCGTCACTGGGAGGAGGGGAGGAGAGGAGGAGGGAGGAGGAGGAGGATGAGAGAAAGAGGAGAAGAGAGAGAAGGAGGAGAAAGAGGAGAAAGAGGAAAAAGAGGATAAAGAGGAGAAAGAGGATAAATATGAGAAGAGGAGGAAGGGGAGAAAGAGGAGGGAAGAGGATGATGAGGGAGGAGGAGAGAGAAGGCAGGAGAGGAGAGCAAGGCAGAGAGCAGGATGAGGAGCAGGAGGAGGGCAGAGGAGAGCAGGAGGAGGAGCAGGAGGGTAGCAGGAGGAGGAGCAGAGGAGGTGAGCAGTAGGAGGGGAGGAGGAGGGGGAGGAGGAAGCAGGAGATTGAGCAGGAGGAGAGGAGGAGGGGAGGAGGAGGAGTAGGGGAGGAGGAGGAAAGAGTAGGAGGATGTAGAGGAGGAGGGAGGAGGAGGGGAGGGAGGAGGAGTAGGAGGAGGAGGCGGAGGAGGAGGAGGAGGAGGAGGGAGGAGGAGGACCCCCTCTCCCTCCGACGTATGGCGGTGGTGGTGGTGGAAAACATGCCCGTCTTCGTAGAAGAAGAAGAAACATCACATAAACATGAGCTTTTGGCTCTCCGCGCGGATTTCTTGGGTCCGCGCCGGAGCCCGGAGGCGCCGCCCCCGGCGCGCTCCGGGCGCTCCATGCGCCGACGGAAAGCGCCGCTTACCGCCGAGCGCGGTCCACTACTCGCAAAGTGCCTACTCGCAAACGCCCCCCAAAAAACCAACGGCTGCTTGATGCAAGGGGAGCTTCCTCGCCTCGGTGCAAGGGATGCAGGCCGCTCGCGAGTAGCCACTCTGCGACTCGTGCGGCGCGCTCGTCCAGTTTGGGTCGGGCCCTGGGGCATACTGTCCGAGCACATCACCGAGACGGCGGCGGACCGCTACTGCCACCAGAGCTGCCTGCTCGTGGGCGTGCCGGCGCTCGCCGCGCTGCTGGCCCGGCTGAGGCCGAGGCCCGGCCTGGTGGCGGTCGGCGTGGTGCTGGGAGCGGCTGCTTGCGAGGTCACCGCCACCTGGCACTACCTCGAGATCTGGATGGACCCCAAGGTCACCACCCACCAAACCACCCCAACCCAACCCGAAGGCCCAAACTTATCCTCGATTTCCAGTGGGGGGGGGGTCGGGGAACGTTGAGAAAACACATGGTATCCGTACCCCCCCCAACCCGAAATTCGGGTCAAATCCGGGTCTTCGGGTTGGGTTGGGGTGGTCTGGTAGGTAGTCACAAGGATCGACTGCACGCAAGAGTGTCGCAGGCCCAGGAGGTTGACACCAGCACCAGCTTCGGCGGTGTGCCTCCACCGAGGGAAGGAGATCCCGATGTCGGTGATGGTGGTAATACGTTGGCTTCCAAGGTGGCCGGAACACCGAAATCGAGGATCATCTTCCCCCTGGGAAGGCAACCTCCTGTGTTTCGGGGGCGGAAAAGAGGGGGGTGATGACTAGGGGGGGGGATATCATAGCGTGGGCCATGATATTTCCCCAGATCTCATGGCGCCTCTTCTTATTTCATTACGTCCCTGGCCCGCCCGCTGGGCCGCGCACATGCCGCCGGTCATGATTTGCACACCCCCCTCTTCGACATCCCCCTCTTTGCCGCTCCCGAGTGTTGGTGTTGGTGCCCACTTCCAGGCCTCCAGAAGTGGCCCTTCGCCGGAGTGACCTCTGGTGAAGGGCCCGCCGGGGTCCTCCGATGCCCGAGCGCGGCTGCGATGGCAGCGGCCCCCCTCCCCCTCCTCCCCCTCCTCCTCCTCCTCCTCCTCCTCCTCCTTCTCCTCCTCCTCCTCCTCCTCCTCCTCCTCCTCCTCCTCCTCCCTCCTTCTCCTCCTCCTCCTCCTCCACTTTATCCTCCTCCTCCCCCCCAGGAAGCCGCGCAGCAAATGCCACTCCTACCCAGGGTCACTCTTTGCGTGCACAGTGGGAACCCATGCCAAGAGACACCCTGCTGGCCTCCAGGGTGCCCTGGGTGTCTTAGGCTTCGATGGTTTTGCGACGTAAAGCGTGACGTTCCCACACCAAAAATCAAGGGACCTCCTGGGGTCCCAGGGTTGGATTCCTCGTGGAAGGTTTCTTGTGGACTGGCCTCCACTGTGGCCCTGAGTCGGGCCTGTCCCTCTACAGTGGGAATATTCAAAAGTAATTATTCAAAAAATAGTCTGGGGACGATTTTTGGATGATTTGTTTTGATTATTTCGGGGTATGTTGCTAGAGAAGTCTAAATTTTTCGCCCAAAATCTGCCTGTAGGGTTATGTCGGGCCCGTCCTTCTACAGGGGGAACATTCAAAAATACTAAAAAAAAATAGCTTGTCTGGGGACATTTTGGGGGGAGTTGTTTGACCATGTGGGGGCATTTTGGGAAGTTTTTTTTTGTTTCGTCGAAAATCCCCCTGTAGTCTTCATTTTTCGCCCAGAATCTGCCCGTAGGGGGACAGGCCCGACCTAGCTGTAAGCCGATAGGAGACCATCGCGCAGGCCGTCCGGGCCAGCCCGAGGTTCTACCGGACGCGCTACATCCACGGGATGGAGCTGCTGGGCGCCGGCCGGGCCCGGGAGGCCGAGGATCGGGAGCCTCGAGTGAAGTCGGGCCTGTCCCTCTACAGGGGAAACCACACAGACACCGTGAATCGTCGACTCCAGGAAGACATAGGAGAATATGCGGGGGGAAACAGCAAAAACCCAGAAAATAGGAGGAAATGTGGGGAATCAGGGTATTTGTCTGTATTTGTTTGTGTGTCCAAGGGCGCCCTCGAGGGCGCGAAGTTCTTCGCGCCTCGCGGTTCGGCTCCGATCCCTCCGTATCCTCCTCTCCTCCCCTGTGGGAGGCGGCGCGAGAGCGCGAAGTTGTTCGCGCAGCGCGCCGCGCGCAGTTGGGAGCCCTTGTTTCGGGCGAAGAGAACTATGCACATGCACCGATCCTGGCAAGACCCATCCTTGACCCAGGATCGGTGCATATGCCTTCCTGGCCAAGGTAGGAGGGCGTATGCACCGATCCTGGGCGCAGGATGGGCCTGGCCAGAATCGGTGTATGTGCATAGTTCTTTTCCCTCTACCTCCCCCTCCCCCTCCCCCTCCCCCTCCCCTCCCCCTCCCCCCCCCCCTCCTCCTCCTCCTCCTCCTCCCCTCCTCCTCCTCCTCTCCTCCTCCTCCTCCTCCTCCTCCTCCTCCTCCCCCTCCTCCTCCCCTCCTCCTCCTCCTCCTCCTCCTCCTCCTCCTCCTCCTCCTCCTCCTCCTCCTCCTCCTCTAGTGTTGAGACGGGGGTCAGCGCAAAGGAGGGTCAGCCAGAGCGCCCGCTCTTGCGGGGTCCGGCAGGGCGAGGGGCGCGGTGGCCCGGGCTCGGGTGCAGGGTCCTGCAGGAGCGTCGATGCCCAGGAAGATAGTTTTGGGAAACCATGGGGAGTGGTGGGGAAGACAAGAGCCCCGAAGGTATGGGAGGATATGGGGAATCCTGTGAATTGTGTGTGTGTGTGTGTGCGTGTTTACTTGTGAGTCCCTGGGCCCCTTCATCTTTCAGGATCCTTCGCACTGACCCGGGCTTGGGCGCAGGATCCTGCAGGATCTTGCAGGATTCTGCAAGACCTGGCTGACCCGGGTCTGGGTTGACCCGGGTCAGAAGATCCCCGAGAGGAGCAGCTCCGCGAGAGCCTCCTGCTGTGCCCCAACTTTACCAAGCCCGAAGGGGAAAAAACGGCATGAACACAAACTTTTGGCGCTGCGCGCGGATTCCTTGGATCCGCGCTGGGGCCCCCCCCCGGCGGCCCCAGCGCAGATCCCAGAAGCCCACGCGGAGCGCCAAAGATTTGTGTTCGTGCCGTTTTTCTTCTTCTCCGATTCTCACTTCGGGCTCACGCAGGCGCTGATGTCGCAGGGGAGGATACCCCAGGCGATCGAGGCCATGCGCGCCGGCGCGGAGCAGGCGCCCGATAACCATTTCGCGCACCTGAACCTGGGCCACCTGTACCAGCGAGAGGGGAGGATCGACGAGGCCCTGCAGAGCTTCCAGAGGGCCGTGGAGCTGGACCCCAGCGTTAAGTCGGGCGTGTCCCTCTACCGGAGGAGTACTCAAGCCTGGTCCAGGAATACTCTGGGGACGACGTTTCGAGTATGTTTCACCACCCTGTCGCATTGTTTGGGTACTGCTTATTCTTCCCCGAGAATCCGCCTGCAGGAGGACACGCCCGACCTAACCCCAGCGACGCCTCCAGCCAGCAGGGCCTGCGGGAGTCGCGGGCGGCGCTGCAGCGCAGGCAGCCGCGGCAGGCGCGCCAGCCCGGGCCGCACGCTCCTCCTCCTCCTCCTCCTCCTCCTCTTCCTCCTCCTCCTCCTCCTCCTCCTCCTCCTCCTCCTCCTCCCCCTCCCCCTCCTCCTCCTCCTCCTCCTCCCCCTCCTCCTCCTCCTCCTCCTCCTCCTCCTCCTCCTCCTCCTCCTCCTCAGGCGTGGGCTTAGGCCGTGGGAGACATTTCCCCGCGGTGCGTTTTTGCACTGCATCACGGCACTGCCCGCCCCAGGCTCGTGCGCGCCCACGCACGAGTCGACACTCAATATACCTGCAGGGCGATCTCGCTCACCCGCCTGGCATAGAGCCCGCCGTCGTGCTCGCGCGCAGGCCAGGCGTTTTCTGAAGATTGTCAAGCTGCGGGAACTACTCAATCGACATCACGGGTCTCAAGAGCCTCACATGAGAAGTGCCCCCCCCGCCGCTGAAGGGAATGGCGCCCGACGAGGTAGAAGACCAGAAGTCCAGAAGGAGCCGAGATTGGCGTGCATGGCGACACGTCAGTGCGGCTTCGAGGGCAACTACGCCAGCAACGAGAATTGCTATCAGTGTGGTCGCGACCGTCGTGGTGTACCTGATCCAAGT